TTTGGGCTATTATTTTTTCTTGATTTTTTTTATTTTTATTTTTGTAACCAGCAATGTTTAGGGTTTTTTTCAATTATTTTTACTTCTGTTTGTTATTTTTGAATTTTTTAATGTGCAAAGTTAAAACAAAAAACACTTTTTTCGTTTGTAAATAACTTCACTGTGCATCAGAATTATAATGTCAGTGTCTTTATTAAGGGCACCAAATATATAATAAAATGTATAATTGTCATCTACAGTATCACTAGATTTTTAACCTAAACACTGGAAAAGGAAAAAAAAATATTTAGTTCTGTTAAATCCTTTTGTCTATAGATTGCATATTAGAATAAAATTATTTTTTCAAGATGCTATCACCAAAGAAAGTTTGTCCTGAAAAGAAATAGTACGTGTATTTCATTATCAATCATGACAAAGTTATCCCTTAAACAATAGACCCATAGCAGAAATGAAAAATTGCTGTTGTCCATACCACAGAGTAAAGTGGTTAAGGTAAACACTGTAATAATAACTTAAAGTATGTGCTCACTGAGCTTACAATACATTTTAACAAGGAGTGGTAGGTATCTCATTTTATTTCATTTGGTGTTAATTGCTTGCTTGTTTTATTTTCCCTTTCTTCTACATACATCTGCATGTACTTACAGTATAGTGTAACATTCAAGTAGTGCATTCCTTCCATTCCACAGTACTCTTGCAATCCACATGCTCTCTGCCTTCAAAGTACGTGTAAAACAGAATATTTAATCCAGTATTTTTACAAGCAGTAGCATAACAATTAAAAAACATATATTAATAGCAACTTGTGCAGCCTCTCTTACCATTCTTGACCACACCGGGTACATGAGTACTATTTTTGCCTATCTAATTTATATTTATTTTGTACACACAAAACAATATCAGGGGCTTGAGTCATAATGTAGTAGGGGTTGTGGGAGATCACAGCAAAACAGCCTAGGGAGTCATAAATCAAGAACTACACCTAGCTCTCTTCCAGTAGGTTTGGGATGCTATTGGGAAATCTGTAACGGCTATAACTCAGGGTAAGACACAGGTGCACAGGAGAAAATTACATTTTTATTTTTTACTTACTCTCCAAGATATAAGTATAAAATTGATATTGGTCAGAAGTGTAATGAATATTCAGCAACCCACGTGAAAACAGCAAGAGAATGCTGAATCAATGCTACTATAAACTGCAAAGAAAGCATAAAGTAATGATGCATGAAGGGAACAGCTGCGAAACAAAAGAAGCTATCCAAAAATAAACACAATGCACACTCCTTAACGAAATGAATGATACTTTCTAATCTTTAAATATATTTTACTTATTTAAACCTTAATAAAAAAATATAATGCACTATATATAGCATCAAATATATAGAACAAAAAATATACAGTCATGGCCGAAATTGTTGGCACCCTTGATATTTCTCCAGGAAATCATGTATTTCTCACGAAACGTATTGCATTAACACATGTTTTGCTATACACATGTTTATTCCCTTTGTGTGTATTGGGACAAAACAAAAAAAAGGAGGAGGAAAGAAAGCAAATTCGACATAATGTCACACAAACCTCCAAAAATGGGCTGGACAAAAGTATTTGGCACCCTTTCACAACTGCGGATAAATAAGAATGTTACAAGCATGTGATGCTCCTGTAAAAACTCACCTGGGGCAAGTAACAGGTGTGGGCAATATAGAAATCACACCTGAAAGCAGATAAAAAGGAGAGACGTTCACTTAACCTTTGCATTGTGTGTCTGTCTGTGCCACACTAAGCATGGACAACAGAAAGAGGAGACGAGAACTGTCTGAGGAAGAACCAAAATTGTGGCAAAATATCAACAATCTCAAGGTTACAAGTCCATCTCCAGAGAACTAGATTTGCCTTTGTCCACAGTGCGCAACATTATCAAGAAGTTTGCAACCCATGGCACTGTAGCTAATCTCCCTGGTCGTGGACGGATGAGGAAAATTGATGAAAGATTGCAACGCAGAATAGTCCGGATGGTGGATAAGCAGCCCCAAACATGTTCCAAAGACATTCAAGCTGTCCTGCAGGCTCAGGGAGCATCAGTGTCAGCGCGAACTATCCGTCGACATTTAAATGAAATGAAACGCTATGGCAGGGCAGGACCCAGGAGGACCCCACTGCTGACACAGAGACATAAAAAAGCAAGACTACAGTTTGCCAAAATGTACTTGAGTAAGCCAAAAGCCTTCTGGGAAAACGTCTTGTGGACAGATGAGACCAAGATAGAGCTTTTCGGTAAAGCACATCATTCTACTTATGTTTACCGAAAACGGAATGAGGCCTACAAAGAACAAAAACACACAGTACCTACGGTAAAATATGGTGGAGGTTCAATGATGTTTTGGGGTTGTTTTGCTGCCTCTGGCACTGGGTGCCTTGACTGTGTGCAAGGCATCATGAAATCTGAGGATTACCAAAGGATTTTGGGTCGCACTGTAGGGCCCAGTGTCAGAAAGCTGGGTTTGCGTCCAAGATCCTGGGTCTTCCAGCAGGACAATGACCCCAAAACATACGTCAAAAAGCACTCAGAAATGGATGGCAAAGAAGCGCTGGAGAGTTTCTGAAGTGGCCAGCAATGAGCCCAGATCTAAATCCCATTGAACACCTGTGGAGAGATCTTAAAATTGCTGTTGGGAAAAGGTGTCCTTCCAATAAGAGAGACCTGGAGCTGTTTGCAAAGGAAGAGTGGTCCAAAATTCCGGGTGAGAGGTGTCAGAAGCTTAATTGATGGTTATAGGAAGCGACTGATTTCAGTTATGTTTTCCAAAGGGTGTGCAACCAAATATTAAGTTAAGGGTGCCAATACTTTTGTCCAGCCCATTTTTGGGGTTTTGTGTGACATTATGTCATATTTGCTTTTCTGCCTCTGTTTTATATTTGTTCCAATACATACAAAGGGAATAAACATGTGTATAGCAAAACATGTGTTAATGCAATACCTTTTTTGTGTGAAATACTTGATTTTCAGGAAAAAATATCAAGGGTGCCAACAATTTCGGCCATGACTGTATATAGCATAAAATATATATATAGCATAAAAAAGCCCGTGTCACAAATATATTATTATTTTTTATCACACTGCAGTTCAGTGCCACAAATAACGTTTAATTGTCAAATAAATATAAAGTATTCAGCAAGGTGTCTGTATATATTTTACCATACCTTGAGAACAATATAAAGTACAGATTTGTTTCTTAATTTTTTAACAAGCATTGTTAAAGATGTTTGTAAAAGCTTTGCTTCAGTCTAGACTGTTTACTTGTGCTGCTTAATAGCAGTAGGATTTTGTAGTACAAGGGTGTAAGTGCATGTGCTCAAAGCAAATTAATATAGTACCCCATGGCTTTCCAAACCTCCCCGTTAATAAAAGCTGTAGCATTTTAAAACAATATTTAAAGCAAATATCTTAGCACTGCTATAATCTGCATTATCAGATTCCTGACATCCCTGGTACCTTTTTCATAGGTTTTTTTGAGTTTGAGCAAGATCACAGGGGCCCCGTGATCCCCTATTGCCTGGGGGCCCCATGAGTTGTCAGTCCGTCCCTGGTTACAATATATAATGATTATATCATGTTTTATGAAAGCTGTAGCTTTTATTATTATAAAGCAGTCCTTTAGCTTTGCTTAGACTGCATAATATCATCAGCCTGCTGTAGTCAGGAAGAAGAAAGAGGGCTGATCTGTTTCAGACATATGTGAATACAAAAATGCACATCCATCAGGCTTCGTTGATTGTGTCATCACTTTTCATGAAGTTGTCCTTTAAATATACCCCCAGCCTCTGAGTGTAATTTAAGTATTTACTTCATCTCTGCTCCCACGTTTTTCACTGTTTTCACACCTGGTGCTAAACAGCTACTGCCTAGTGCACACATGCATCACCACCTATGGTGCCACCACTCATTTCTTTGGGAGCCAAGGGAGCACGATTAACCACTTCAATACCGGGCACTTTTACCCCCTTCCTGTTTTCAATGTTTCAGTGCTGTCCCACTTTGAAAGACAATTGCACAGTCATACAACACTGTACCCAAACTAAAATTTTATCATTTTCTTCACACAACTAGAGCTTTCTTTTGATGGTATTTAATCACCGCTGGGGTTTTTATTTTTTTGCTAAATTAACAAAAAAGTCTGAAAATTTTGAAAAAAAAAACATGTTTTTCTTTGTTTCTGTTATAAAAGTTTGCAAATAAATAATTGTTCTTCATAAATTTAGGCCAAGATGTGTTCTACTACATGTCTTTGGTGAAAATAATCCAAATTAGTATTTATTATTTAGTTTGTAGGAAAGTTATAGAGTTCACAAACTATGGCAGTGATGGCGAACCCGTGGCACGCGTGCCACAGCCGGCACACCGAGCCTTATCTGTGGGCACTCCAGGAGAATACCGTATTTTTCGCTCCATAAGACGCACTTTTTTTCCCCCAAAAAAGGGGGGAAAATGTCAGTGCGTCTTATGGAGCGAATATAGAGCGGCCGGTCCGGTATTTCCACCGCCGCCGTGTCAGAATACACCGCTCTGCAGTGGGACCGTACCTGTCCCTCTATCCAGCGGCGCGCTGTCTTCCCGGCTTCTGTAGTGTGCGTGACAGCCGGGTCCCAAGTGCGCATGCGCAAGAAGCAGTGCTCTTTGTGAATGGTAAGGCGGTACCTGGGACACATGACAGATCCCAGAAGCCGCCGGACCAATCACAAAGCGCAACGCTTCTCGCGCATGCGCACTGGGCATCCGGCTGTCCGACGAGCGCCCACACTACAGAAGCCGGGAAGACAGCGCGCGGCTGGATAAAGGAACAGGTAAGATAAAAAAAAAACTCTGCGGAAGTAAGAGCGGGTACCTGTCAAATTCAGGTACCCGCTCCCCCTCCCTCCCCAAAGGTCAGCAGTCATCTGTACTGTCCGCAGTCTCTGGTCATCCCTGTGCTTTCCGCAGTCTCTGGTCATCTCCTGTACTGTCCGCAGTCTCTGGTCATCCCTGTACTGTCCGCAGTCTCTGGTCATCCCTGTACTGTCCGCAGTCTCTGGTCATCCCTGTACTGTTATATGGAAAAAACCTTGCGAGCCAAGTAATGAATTCCTTTTGTTGGATCGCAAACTTATTAGCACATAACAACCAATGTGAAAAAACGTGTAAATAAAAATATAATATTGCGCTCACAACCTTCCAATCTATATATAATAAACCTATAAAAATGTATATAATATATTTGAATATCTGAATAAGTGAATATATAGCCAATCAACTCACATAAATGAATATATAGCCAATCAACTCACATGAATGAAATAGTAAAAAATACTAAAAATATAGTGAAATCATATAATATATTGATAAAATAATAATGTCCCACAGAGAAATATATAGGTGACTTTGTGCTGAAAAAAATCTTCTATAACTTTAAATAGGTGACTGCTTGTGCCTCCTCCCTCAAGTGAAGATGTGCGCTCACCTCATGAATAGCCTGCAATTAGGCTATTAAAGCTTGCGGTTCACCTCCTTGGAACCTACTTGTTTAGGAACTGTTGTAGATGAGATAACAATTATAATGCGACCTGTGTTGTAGACCAGTATCCTCTCACTGGATGCCCCTCTGCTGGCTTCTTATTTCCATGTAACTCTCCATAAATAAGAAAATTCTGACATGGTGCTTTATCGTTTTCAAAGCTTTTAATGTACAGCTGACAGGTGGCTCTCACATAAATCGTATAGTGATAGTACAGCTGATTCAGACCTCCGCTGGCTGTTGGAGATGTGCGTGCGTGATCCGATATCCGGACTAACTCCCTCCGAGTGACATGAACAGTCCCACCCCTACGCGTTACGCCACTAATCACGTGGCTTCATCAGGGGGATTTGATTTGATCAAATCCCCCTGATGAAGCCACGTGATTAGTGGCGTAACGCGTAGGGGTGGGACTGTTCATGTCACTCGGAGGGAGTTAGTCCGGATATCGGATCACGCACGCACATCTCCAACAGCCAGCGGAGGTCTGAATCAGCTGTACTATCACTATACGATTTATGTGAGAGCCACCTGTCAGCTGTACATTAAAAGCTTTGAAAACGATAAAGCACCATGTCAGAATTTTCTTATTTATGGAGAGTTACATGGAAATAAGAAGCCAGCAGAGGGGCATCCAGTGAGAGGATACTGGTCTACAACACAGGTCGCATTATAATTGTTATCTCATCTACAACAGTTCCTAAACAAGTAGGTTCCAAGGAGGTGAACCGCAAGCTTTAATAGCCTAATTGCAGGCTATTCATGAGGTGAGCGCACATCTTCACTTGAGGGAGGAGGCACAAGCAGTCACCTATTTAAAGTTATAGAAGATTTTTTTCAGCACAAAGTCACCTATATATTTCTCTGTGGGACATTATTATTTTATCAATATATTATATGATTTCACTATATTTTTAGTATTTTTTACTATTTCATTCATGTGAGTTGATTGGCTATATATTCATTTATGTGAGTTGATTGGCTATATATTCACTTATTCAGATATTCAAATATATTATATACATTTTTATAGGTTTATTATATATAGATTGGAAGGTTGTGAGCGCAATATTATATTTTTATTTACATCCCTGTACTGTGTCCGCAGTCTCTGGTCATCCCTGTACTGTGTCCGCAGTCTCTGGTCATCCCTGTACTGTGTCCGCAGTCTCTGGTCATCCCTGTACTGTGTCCGCAGTCTCTGGTCATCCCTGTACTGTGTCCGCAGTCTCTGGTCATCCCTGTACTGTGTCCGCAGTCTCTGGTCATCCCTGTACTGTGTCCGCAGTCTCTGGTCATCTCCTGTACTGTGTCCGCAGTCTCTGGTCATCCCTGTACTGTGTCCGCAGTCTCTGGTCATCCCTGTACTGTTAATTAGTTTGCACTACTGTACGAGTTGTTTTTTCTAAACCAAAAGCTCGATATTCAGGTTTCATTGCAGTGTTGGCACTTTGAAAGAAATAAGTTGGTTTTGGGTTGCAGTTTGGGCACTCGGGCTCAAAAAGGTTCGCCATCACTGAACTATGGTATATATCTGAAAATTGATCAATCCTGAAGTACTGACGGCCAATCTAATTTCTTGAGGTCCAAGAACAGTACAGATATCCCCCAAATGACCCCCCAAATGACCCTTTTTGCAAAGCAGACAGTCCGACGTATTTCATAACAGGCATGGCGAGTTTTTTGAAGTTGTAATTTTTTTGTGATAGTTTTTCAGAAAATGAAGAAATTAAAAAAATTATTTTCACTATTTTTTGTTACATACTGTCACCAGTGCAGTAAAGCATCATCATATACCTGTCATGGCAGTGATCAGTGACACTGACTGGTGACAGTACGAAAAAAAAGAAATGAATAATTTTTTTCAATGTTCTTTTTATTTTTTTTATTATTTTAAATTTTTTATTACATTTTTTTCTCTTTTTTTAAGATTTTTTTTTTTCATATTGCACTATGACCAAAGTAGTATAATGTTACCATAGTAACATTGTACTACTTTGGGGAAGTGATCAATATTTTTTTTTTTTACACAATTTGCTTATAGCAAAGAATTACTTTGCTATAAGCAAGCATTTACCTGAATGAAATCGATTTATTCTTTTTTGTGATTAGCTGTGATTTGGCCACAGCTAATCACATGACACGGCTGTAATTGGCCCAGCTTGTGCATGTGATCGCTGTGACCATTCACAGCTAGACACACTTGTATACAATGGATGACATGAAAGGAAGCCATCCATTGTATAGAACTGTCATGTGACCTGCTGTGATTGGTCACAGCAGGTCACATGGTACTGGCAACAGAGTCGGTACACAGATCTGTCATCGGCCGTGTCTGAGGTACACGGCCGGTGACAGATCTCCCCACAGAGCGGCCCTGTGGGCATGCGCAATACGGGTTCCGGAAAGGATGCCATATGGCATCCACCGGGAGGGACGAGCTGTTCGCCCGGCCGCCATCTGGCTATAGGCCGGGTGGCAACTGGTTAAAAATTAAAAATGCTGATGAAGGTATGAAGGAAGGAGTGCCAGCCCTGGACAACTACTTAGATAAATTGTAACAGGGTCGTCATTGTCATTAAACCAAGCTCACTACATAGGCAGTGTCTGTCCCTGCTAATCCAACACCATGTACATTGTTTGCCCAGGAAAACAAGACAAAAATAAATAAAAGCTCAAAAGAAAAAAAAATAAATTCTGTAAGTTACAGTCAGGGTGGGGGGGCATTTAAACGTATTTATTATCTAAAGCAGGCCATAAATTAGTTCAGTTTTCAAATTGTTAGTGGGGTAGGTGGGAAGGAGCATGATGTAATTTTTTATTTTTTTTCAAAACCATTGAATTTATACCAATAAATGTTCTTTTCCTTTGGGAAATTACACTAATATCAGAATTGAATGTTTAAAACAAAGTGTTAAAGTAGTCTGAGCGACATTTGTCCACTCATCAAATGTACAAAGTATTTTTGTACAAATACTCACACGAACTTCATTAAAAAATCTTCTAGCATATAGCCAGCTTAAAGGGTTAGTTCACCTTTACAGAAAACCTGTGATAGTGCTGACCAGTTAGAATCCATCTGTTTTGTCCTGGCAGATCTAGATAGAGAGGAGAGAAAGCAGTGAGGATTTCAAATCCCCAGGACAATGGAGTGTCTTGTGGGAGTCCTGACAGCTCAGAATCAAGGGAGATATGTATACCAGGGACTGGGGAGTGGGGAGGGGATCCGGAGTTAGATCATCGGACCCCCTACCCACCCCCTGGTCAAAGATTTTCTGTAAAGGTGAACTAACATTTTAAGGGTAAGGTAACTGAATTTATCTCAGACTAGCATCTTATTGAGTATAGTGAGTATTGGCTCACTATTCTTTTTAGCCATTACTGCCCTCTACAAAACAAAATTTTATCTCTCATCCCTGGTTCACACTGATGCTGTTTTGAATGCATTTCTGGCATGGTAAATAAAATGTTTTCCTATAGAAGGCATTCACATATGTTCGCAGTCCATACGCACTGCGTTTTGAAAAAGGGTCCTGTGCACGTATGGATTAGTGTGATCTGATTTTGAGCTCCATATAGTTTAATGGAAAAAGTTTTTACAAAACATTTTTTACAAGTGTTTCCAGTGTTTCTGCCCTGCTTGAGAGAGAGAGAGAGAGAGAGAGAGAGAGAGAGAGAGAGAGAGAGAGAGAGAGAGAGACTCTGATGCAAAATCGCACCTGTATGAGAAATGCATTGGGAGTCATAGTAAAAACACATCTCAGTTGCACTGCAGGCCATTTGGAAACTCGGGCACTGCCGAGGGCCTGGGGTCAGTAAGGGGCCCCATGAGATGCCCCTGGTACCTTTTTCATAGGCTTTTTTGAGTTTGGGCAAGGACACAGGGGCCCCATGATCCCCTGTTGCCCGGGGGCCCCATGAGTTGTCAGTCCGCCCCTGACTGCAGGTGATACTTGAATCACACTTGAAAACTGAATAAACTCACACTACTTCAGTGTGAACCTAGCCTTACAGTCCAGACCTATAATGTACACAGTTCATGTGCATCAAAAAAATATCCATAAAACTTAAATCACCCATTAAATTGAAAACTCACCAGAATCAATGGCTGCTTAAGCTACAGGCAGCAAAAACAAAATTAATGTTCCCTTTAAAACCTCTCCAGCCTCTGCCCAGCTCCTCCAAATTTTTGGCTCTGCCACAGATGTATCATACAAACTGTATAGACAAAGCTTTACATACCAGAGCAAAAAAAGGGGGACCATAGTAAAGAATTTCAATTAACAGTGAATATGCCAGTTACATTGGTGTGTCTTAACATTTCAGGGTATTCCAGATGGTAAGTGGGAAGGGTTCTCCTCCTGGGTCAGTGTGCTTCATGCTGTTGCTAATTTAGTTTTCCTTGTGTTTGTCCTTACGATTGATACACTGCATTGCCAAAAGTATTGGGACACCTCTCCAAATCATTGGATTAAAGTATTCCAATCACCTCAATGGCCACATGTGAATAAAATCAACCATCTAGGCATGTAGACTGTTTCTACAAACATTTGTAAAAGTATGGGTGGCTCTCAGGAGCTCAGTGAATTCAAGCATGGTGCCTTGATAGGTTGCCATCTGTGCAATAAGCCCATCTGTGAAATTTCCTTTCTATTAAATATTCCACCGTCAACTATTAGTGGTATTATAACAAAGTGGAAGCAAATGGGAACAACAGCAACTCAGTCACAAAGTAGTAGGCCACAGAAAATGACCTCACAAATGTGCTTCTGGAAAGAATGGTCAAACATTCCCATAGACACACTCCTAAACCTTGTGGACAGCCTTCCCAGAAGAGATGAAGCTGTTATAGTTGCAAAGGGTGGGCCAACTCAATGTTGAACCCTATGGACTAAGACTGGCATGTCATTAAAGGTCATGTTCATGTAAAGGCAGGTGTCCCAATACTTATGGCAATATAGTTTTTGTTCATTGATGTCGCCTTTTTTTTTTTTTTGTAGACTACTGTCTAGCTTTCCTGGGGGGAATTGATCAGGTGTCCAGTTCTTTGACCTGCATTTGGAAGGCAGAGCTTTGCCCTGTGGAGTCCACGCCAACTGTCCCCTGGGAGTGGGAAGGCTTCCCACCGCATGTGACTCATTGCCAGGGCTCGGGCCCTCATCTCTGGAACTGCTTGCTTCTAAACAGCCTAGTCTCTCCAGAGCATGTTTTCCATTCTGGTCTGGCCACCCCTTGCACCCCCAGCAGGCCACCGCAATTGCAGATACTCTTAAGCATTGCTGCACTGTCTCAGGATGAGCTTGGGGTCCTGGGGCCCCTTCAGCCCTTGGATCACATTGCTTGTTTGTCTTGTGCCCAGGGCACTAAACAGATGTGGTTCCTAGCTTGTCTCTCAAGAAGACATTCTATTACCTGGTTTACCTGCTAGATCCATGTTTCTGACTGTTTATTTGAGTTTCCTGCATTACTTTAAATGGTACCACTTGTACACTAGTACACAGGCTAGAGCTCTGTGCTCCACTGTGCCTTACTACTCCCCACATTAGGATTACTCTGCCCTAGTGACAGTAGCTCTCCTTAGAGGAGTTTCTTCCATTAGTTCACCATCCTCATTTTCCCCTCTTCCCCTCTTCTTTTTGTTCTTTCTTTTCACATTTTCTTCTTCCCCCCCATGCGCATCAATTGGTCGATATATGCAGAATTTTCCATCTTCAGGAGATGGACGATACCTTTTATTCTCTCACTCATGGCTCCTTCTCCAGAATTGATTTTTTCTTGTTGAAACACTCAGTGATCCCTTAGCTTCCAAAACAGATAGTGGTCAAATCATGCTCTCTGATCATGCCCCAATTTTTTGGAGCTCGTTCTCTCAAATTCATTCCTCAAGATGCCAATGAGGCTCTTCTCAAGGATTCAGAAATGGAGGCAGATGTTCTTAGATAATTTTCTTGTTTTTTTGCTACTGATGCTGGCTCAGTGCCCAACCTGCTTTCCATGTGGTTTGCGCATAAATGCTATATAAGGGGGATCTTAAAAAATCATGGCCACGCAGTCAAACAATGGCATGCTAAAGCCCTATCTGATCTTTTGGTGAGACTACAGAATACTCTAGAATGGCAACATGAAGCCTGGCCTGACAGTGCAGCTGAGACAGAGTTGGTTTGACTCTGGGAAACCATTAGGGAACACTCCTTGTATAAGGCAAAACACCTACTTAAGGCCAGGGGCGGACTGACAACTCATGGGGCCCCCGGGCAATAGGGGATCATGGGGCCCCTGTGTCCTTGCCC